CGGGGGCGTAATCGCCCGGTTGCAGTGTCTGATTATGCTGCACGTGATGCATTTCGTTTTCTCTGAGAATCCTGCAGATGCTGGAACGGAAAACCCCGCTGCGTGAGCTCCACTTCGCGTACTCAAAATTGGAGTACCTGATAAACTTGGAGTACATTCTCTTCGATGTCCGGGGTCTGTACTGTTGGTGCCAGATTTATGGCAGTTCTTTGAAAGGAGCCTGTTTCAGCTAACCTCCGGTGCAGCCTTGAAAGGGAATTATGGGTAGTTGTATTATGGCTTATAGAAAAAGCATTTCAGCCCCTGCATCGCTATGCAATTCCGAATCGTTGGGGTGCACTCTGCCTTTCCTAGAAGTTCTGAAACGTACTCCTGAGACACTGTTATATATAAGATCAAAATATGTAAAAAGATAAATTCTAATTCATATTAGCAATAGCCATTAAATAAGTGTTATTGATCCCTATATATAAATCTGCCCAATCTTTATATATTGTACATAAATGTATACAGTATGTAAATTTCCCAATCTGAACGTGAACTTTATTTTCGCCTTTTACTCGAATTTCGACCATTACGCCAACTGATCATCACACACTCCTACCTTCAGCTACACCACCATCACACTGCTTCTTTATGAATTCTGGTAATTAAATAAATATCCTGGTAGTAAAAAAAATAATTAACTATTTGTGGTGTTAAGAGTTATAACGAAATTCTGGGAACGTTTCTGCCAGACGTATGTTTGCACATACATTATAGTTATACAGGCGACAGGGAAATTAAAAAAAACTATGTAATATCTACAAACATTTTCTCTGTAAAAAAAAAAACATAAAAAATTGCAATTTTTCATAATTTACGCAATTTAATATTTTAAATACGGAATATGTATCTCTTCGCCAATAGAATAAGAAGTTATAAGAATTGGTCTCAAATGTTATTAATTAGGCTAAGTCTTGTTTCATTGCACTATATGCGAAACATCGTCTGAAATCGTAATCTCTAGAATACGAAGAGCTCTTATTTCGTCGAATTTCATTAGAGATATATTTCTCATTTAATTAATTCAGGTCTCGCTTTGCAACAAGGCAGAAATCCATAAAACCTCAAAATATTTTTATTCAAAATTGCAAAATAGAGAAAAATGTAGTTAAAACAGTTTAAGAAACAACTCTCACAATTAAAATTATAGTTTCTACGCAAAAACAAACAATTTGGCTAGCGGGCAAAAAGGCAGATTTTTCGGTGCACGAAAGTGGAAGTTTATTTTTCGTCTCACTCGACAAAAAGACACTGATTTAATTTGCTGTGACACTATGCGGAATCAATATATGGGATAATTTAATAATTTTAATGTTAATTCCAGAACGGATAAAGCATGATTTAATTCGCAATAATAAAAGAAAACATCTGTGCAACTACATAATAATTTTGGGAATTTAAAACTGCACATTCATATCAAAGGACAGAAGATGGCGAACGGAATGTTTTCCCCTTCACCATCTTCTGTCCTGTCCTCCTGGACTTACTGTGCTGCACTCATTCTACTTGAAGCGCCCTTCTATGACACACGAAGTTCTATAGCCGGAACACAGCATGAAGTTTTCATGCTAATCTCGCCATACAGCGGAAGTTGGAGTTAGTTGATAACATTCAGCCTTTGGTTAGATAATTAACTTGTTACAATCGTTGGCAAGGTTGAGACCTTGCGAACCAAAGATGTGTGCATTTGAGTGTTTTCCATCAAAGTCTGAACTCGAATTAACACTTGAACGCCAAGTTTTCGGTTTTATTCGTTTTGTGCACCCTCTGCGAGTTTTTTACTGAACTGATTTCGCAACGTTTGATCTCATTCATTCGCTTTTCCAACACTGTTGCAAGTTCTGATTGAAATTCTAATATACCTCTTTTCTTCCTCTCAGAGTGGAATGCGACCCTATGTTCTACAGTAAATATTGCTTATCTGGATGAATACCCCTCTTAATTTGTAAAAACAATTTAGAATCACCCTATATATCTACTGTTTCTGGAGTTTTCTTCTTACTGTTTTAATAGTGACAGGGGTTTAAAAAACATGCCATTCAATTTCTATGTTATTTTTTGGAAAAATTATCTACATATTTTTCTACGCATTCCTCAACACTGCCCTTTCATTTCAACAATTCATGGAAACTAGTCTACATTGGTACTAATGGGACGGTGTTTTTCAGACAAAGCTACAACACAAAGTGTCATTATTTGCATACTTCGTGATGCGAATATGTTTGATACTTTCGTGCAAAAGAATTCACCATATAGTTCCAATAATGTGCTTGCTTTAAGAGCCTAAATTTGGGCACGGTTTCTTACGATACATAATTATGATCCGTAATCTATCGATTTTATGAATTTCTACAATATTATTTTAAATAGTTATAATGCCATCTACATTTTCAAAAAAAAGCCCAGGGCATTTTACTCATTTTTTCCTTTTTCCACATATTCCCATACTTTAGTCTTATTTGTCTATATTTACACTTACGCAGTTAACCTTTAATTATGGATATATGCTTTTATCTACTTTTATTGAAGAAAATTAAATGTTTAGTTCCGGAATTGACTTTTGATACTAAATTATCAAGAAATGAAAAAGTTGCAAAGTGATTACTTTATCATAACCATTTGATAAACTGTCGATTGTATTTTTATTTTCTGTAAAGAGTATGAATTTTACTAATGCTTAAATGTAAGAAAAGATAAATCTTTAAAACTCTATGGAATTCGTTAATATTTCAAGTGATGTTTTCGTCGCATTAAGAACATCAGTTATATTACCTCCGTTTGCTCCAGTTGTTCAGTTATTAGAACCAGTAATTAGAACTCCAGGTTTTCGGATTATAATGACTTAAATTACAGAGGCTGTTCACACATTTTTAGACGATGTATATTGTATTCACAAAACTAAATTACATAAAATTCTTGTGTTTTAAATGTTCTATTTGACATCCCTTATTCTGGACTATCTTTCGACACTGCAATTTCCAGCATAATAATACCTTTCGAAGTGGCAGAAGAGATATTTTATCCCATTCCTACCGAACAGCTTTCCAGAGTCCTGTTAGGATTTGGGGACAACGTTTGGATAATGCAGTTTTTAAAAGTCCGAAAACACAAAACTCCATAGGTGACACATCGGGAGATTTAGTAGGGATATCAGTGAAGGGCCTTGATACCAGTTTTTTGTTTTAAGAAATTTACAGTGGATTTTGATGTGTGAATGCTAGCTTTGTCCTGATGGAGTCTCACAGATGGATGGCACTGTGGGTAAAGCAATTGTATTTCATTCAGAAAAATTGGCGATAAAATATGTTCCTGATAGTATTAGGAGTTAATTTTGACATTTTTTTGCACTCTCTTTAATTTTAACTTGCCATTAAAGAAAAACCAGCAACAATCATGAATCCCTTAGAAAAATTTCCTTTCGATTCTTTGAACCATGTACTTAATTTTTTCCTCCCCTTTTATGATAATAATGGCTCTTTTTTTTTTTTTTTTTTTTTTTTTTTTTTTGTTACAATCATTTAAATACATCCATGCTTCATCTATTTTGACAATTGTTTTCCATTTTTCTTTGGATAAGCGTTTCTCATATAGAATTCTGCAGCGTGTCCTGCGTTGAGCGATATGCTTTACGAGAAGACGATGCACATTGCGTTTTTTCGCTTTAAGATTTAAATCAACGTTTATCATTTTGTGTACAGTGGACACCGAGCATTTTAATGATTTTGCAACTGTCCTTTGACTAGAGGGATTTTCTTTTAACATTAAACAACGTACCTTTGCAATAGTCGAAGATTTCCGTTTTATCCTTGGATACTTGTTTGGAATATTTGTCGAGGCTCCAATTTGACATTTTGTTCCTTTCTTGTTGATGATATTACCTATCGATGCTTTAGATATCACAAAACCATGACTCTTGCATCGTTTTTGGATAACGGAGTAGGCATATTTCTCTTCGGAAAGAGCGTCAATGTAGCCTTCGAACCACTGCTTTGTTAAATTCGCCATTTTGAATAAAAACAAAACTTTCAAGCCACAGACGATAATTTTGACTTTTAAAAATATAGTACAATTGCAATTACTTCTTTTGCAGCAAACGATTTTTTATTACCGCTTACCAAAATCGTCTAAAAAATGTGCGAACAGCCTCTGTAAATCTGGATAATCGGAAAATGCAGATAATTTATTCATCCTTTCTGTGTAGGATAAATGTGTATTTATTATAATGCAACTTTATTTTTTCCTGTATTCGTTTTCAGCAAAGACCATACAGCTAATATTGTTTTATTTCTGTTAAATAAGTACAGAAAATGTCTACTTCGAAGCTAATAAAAAGAGGAAAATATTTTTCAATTGTATTAGTGCACAATTCATTTAATTTTCATGTAAAATAAAAAAAAAATTAAAAAAAAACTTTTTTTTTTTTTTTTTTTTTTTTTTTTTTTTTTTTTGTATAGGCATTAGAACTAAAAGCATAAATTTTACACTTATTTCACTGAAATGTTAAGCAAAGAAAACGGTTTCTGCTTGCACAAAAATGCATAGCCTATCTGTGTTTAGTACAATTTTGTACTAGTCTTGGCTCATGTCCGTTTAAATTTTTATGAAGAACTTGTGTTACGAGAACCAGTGGCACTAAGTAATCATAGAATGGTAGGCGCCTATATAATACACAATTGCCAAACGATGTGTGACGACCATGCTGTCGAATACTTCCATATTTGTCAAATGATAGTTAGTGGCTAGTTACATAATTCTGACACATGCTATATTATAATGACATGCTACTTAACTAAATCAGATGAAGATGCATGATATGATTACAGATTTCAATAAATTACTTTTTATTTTAAACCAATAAATTTGTCGTATAATTTGATTTAAATTAAGTCGTAACTTTTAAAAATACTGTACTGTAATAAATACTTTTCTACATAATTATGATTATTTCATTGCAGATGTGCTGAAAGTACTGGAAGCTGTTGGAAATTTTGTTCGGGATTACTTACTCCAAAATAATGTAAGATCCCGATGAAGTTTTATATAGCATTAATTTTTAGATATTCGAAATAGCACGTGCCTTTTCCTTATCATAAATTTATTTTACTCCTTTTTAATCAAATCTTTTAAGTATACAAGTTGATTCAACATTCACCTCTCCTTTTGATGATATTCTGTTTTTCAGTCAAATTTACTGGCAGCAATGTTAAACGAAAAGCTAATATACGCCATTTGTCACTACACACGAAACTTTGCGGAACTACTCTTATATGCGCCCTCAGGTCGCCAAATGCGACGACAAATTTATCGCCAAACATTTTTGGCTAGAAACTTCACGTCGCCATATTACTACCTAAATTTTGTGTCTACATTTCGAACTTTTATCCTAAAATGTCTGCGAAAACGCGATTCAAAAACCACGTTTTGAACACACAATTTAAGCTAAAAATCCGAAACAAAAACAAAAAATTTAGATAGCAAAAACGTAAAGTTCTAACCAAAAATATTCGACAAGAATCCATGTACACAGTGATATGTTTTAACTTTAAAAAAAATCACATAATTTCACAATCCATGCAGCGAAGGAATCTACGAACTACGAATACTTAGGTTAAATAATTTAACATAACAACAATAAATTTCAAAGAATACCATGTACACAGCTTTCTGTTTAAACTTAAAAAGACATCTACGAATTGCACAATCTAGGCAGCAAAGCAATCTACGAACTACGCACACCTCGCTTTAATAAATTAACATAACAATAAATTTCAAGAATACCTTGTACAGAGCGTTCTGTTTAAACTTTAAAAAACACCTACGGATTGCACAATCTAAGAATTGCGCACTAATCAACAAAATAAACTAAAATAACTAAAAGAAATTTCAAACAGTTAAAAAAAACAATAACGACAGAAATTCATACTAAAAAAACACTGAGCATAACATTCTACTAAATAAGAACAAGAATAAAACAAAATGCACTTACCATAAATAAATGCTTCTTCGAACAGCAGGAAATAACAATTTCACACATCACCAAAACAATTTCACACCAAATTTGTTCAAAGCATCTTCTCCCGTTTCAGAACAAAGAAGGAAAAATATATACTGAAGTGACAAAAGTCATGGGATACCTCCTAATATTTTGTCGGTCCTCCTTTTGCCCGGCGAAGTGCAGCAACTCGACGTGGCATGGACTCAGTCGTTGGAAGTCCCCTGCAGGAATATTAAGCCATGCTGCCTCTATAGACGTCCATAATTGTGAAAGTGGTGACGGTGAAGGGTTTTGAGCACGAACTGACCTCTCTATGATGTCCCATAAATGTTCGATGGGATTCATGTCGGGCTATCTAGATGGCCAGATCATTCGCTGGAATTGTCCAGAATGTTCTTCTAACCAATCGCGAACAATTGTGGCCCGGTGACATGGCGCATTGCCATCCATAAAAATCCCATCATTGTTTGAGTACGTGAAGTCCATGAATGGCTGTAAGTGATCTCCAAGTAGCTGAAGGTATCCATTTCCAGTCAATGATCGGTTCAGTTGCAGCAGAGGACCGAATCCATGCCATGTAAACAGCCCAGACCATTATGGAACCACCACCAGCTTGAACAGTGCCTTGTTGACCACTTAGGTCCATGGCTTCGTGTGGTCTGCACCCCACTCGAACCCTACCATCAGCTCTTACCAACTGAAATCGTGACTCTTCTGACCAAGCCACGGTTTTCCATTTGTTTAGGACTGTCAGTAAAGACACTCGAGTCGGTCTTCTGCTGGCATAGCCCAAGGAAGACAAATTTCGCCGCACTGTCCTATCGGACACGTCCCTCGTACGTCCCACGTTGATTTCTGCGGTTATTTGACGCATTGTTGCTTGTCTGTGAACATTGACAACTCTACGCAGACGTCGCTGGTCTCGTTCGTTAAGTGCAGGTGGTCGGCCACTGCGCTGTCCATGGTGGGATGTTATGCCTGAAATTAGATACTCTCGGCACACTCTTGACACTGTAGATCTCGGAATGTTGAATTCCCTAACGATGGAAACGAACGAATTCCCTAACGAACAAAATGGAATGACCCATGCGTCTAGCTCCAACTACTATTCCGCGTTCAAAGTCTGTTAATTCTCGTCGTGCGGCCATAATCACGTCAAAGCCTCTTCACATGAATAACTGGAACATAAATGAAAGCCCTGCGAAAGCACTTCGCATTTATACATTTTCTACGCGATACTACTGCCATCTGTATATTTGCATATTGCTATTCCATGACTTTTGTTACTTCAGTGTATAAAGCACCAAATAAAACTCCAAATCGCATTTCCGATTATAAGTAGGCAACGTAGCTTTAACATGCCACCATGTAATCTCTATCATATTTATATGACAGCCATAGTCACTATCCACAAAACTGATGCTATGTTTCGCAAATAAATATTCAAAACCTTCTCCTAAATAATTCTAAAATTTCCAGCCACCCGAAAAAATAGTTGTACCAGGCACGCGACTAAAATTTTGCCAACACGTCATAACTCAATTACCACACGAACCAGTAAGTTTTCATGTAAAAAGGGTTGCCATAGAAACCAACATCGCCCCCAAAACCATCGCAGAACAAAACACGCAATCGCGCCAAAAACCAGCGCACAACACATATACACATATCGCTGCGTTTGGCAACCTTATGGCGCATATAAGAGTAGAGCCAACTTTGCTATATTTTAAAAATAGTATTTACATAGTGGTTGTCAATTCTGGCATATTTTAATAGCGGGCACTTGTCTATGCCGGCATTGGCCACTACCAAGGCCGAAGTGGTGGTCATTTTATTATGAAGGCACCTAAAATAGGTGGACCACCTTTGCTTCCTATGAAGGGACGGGCAGCCACAGCCGTGCCTTCTCCGGGACTCAAATCCGGAATCTTTAGTATCGCAGTAGTAACCACTATACCGTCAGGGAGGCTTTTGGCAAATGCACTCACGCACTTCAGCAGTCACATTTTACATAACACGCACTCAAGTAAGAGGATCGTAAGGAGTCACACTCAAGTAGAGGATTGGGCAGGACATGCCAATTTTCTAGCATAAAATTGCTTATGCAATACTTCATCGGATATGGGTATATCTTCCGAACGTGTCTAGAGACTCAATCCGAATATGTCTTAAAACTTAAGCATGTCTTGTTTGAGATATCCTCAAAGAAAAGAAGACACGTGGGGAAGAATCGGATGATTGGACAGGCCAAGCAATACCTCCGCAGCGAGAAATAATCTGACAATGAAATATCTTTTCTAAGGTGTCCGTGATTAGCAAGCTGTACATGTTGTGGCACCATCTTGTTTAAAATAAATCATTGAAAGGCTGAAAATATGTACCCTTTTAGTGACTAGGTATATTATACTGATGCAACAGTAAATATAACGCCATTTTTCCTCTCAAATGCTGTGGACCAATATTTTCAAAGGCCAACTCTTTGCATCATCTACGTACGTAGAGAGACTTCGCCTGCCATTCGCAATGACTTTTTGTTGCTCCAATATCTCAAGTGCCGCTTCATTATGCATCTTAAATTTGTAATGTTTTTTGACGTATCAAACATGGTTCCTTGACTACCTCGAGAGTTTGCTTCCAAAACGCTCTCCATGCTGTAAAATATCGCTACCACATGTCTTATGCTATCTGTAGTTTGATTAGACAACATAGCATGCGAAATCCTACACATTAAGATTTTTCGATAGGTTGCATAACGATGTATGTTGTGTGTCGACCATCTTGGATTTATTTCTCGCTAGGTTAGTACAAAGAATATGATTTTTTGCGCTAACCTGATATTCTTTAGTGTTCCCATATTTTTCCCTTCGCTCATTCTTCTTCTCGGTCTCTTGCTCAAAGTTGCGTAGTGTTGGAGTATCGTTCCATGTCTTCCAATATTGATGTGCTACTTAAACAGTTGTTGAGTCATAACAAAAAAGTGACTATTACTGAAAAATATCTCAATATGGGCAGTATTTTTCGCCAAACGCTTCTCACGTATTGCGTCATTCCTTACTTTGGGGCTACATGAATACTTTGTGAATCAAACTGGTTGATGAATGCTAAGTCAACCTACACAATACTTCTTTTAGTACATAAAACTGTCATATTTTAGCCCCTCCAAACATTTATCTATTAGTAAAGAATTTCATTTAATAATTAAAATAATAATATTAACCTTCTATTTAAATTAAATTTGGTTTAATAGAAAATTTGGTAATAGTCTTTCTTTCGACACGTTTCGAATGGTAGTTTTTGAACCTACATTTTCAATTTAAAAAATACCATCAAAAGCATCAGACGCATTTTCGGTACTGAGAGGAACGACCAGGGATTTCACTAAAATGCGTTAAATCTCCTTTCTTCCACCAGACTTCTATAAAAATTACACTTTGACGCTATCCATTGGAGGTTAACTTCACTACATTCCATGCATTTACTTGTTATTTAATGTTTAGTTTATTTAAAAACACCTTCTTTAAATTTCTTATTTTACGATAATGCAGAACAGGGTAGTGTTATCCCATTCGAGTTTAAATTTTAATATAATTCTATATGTATAATTCTAATATAGTTCTCCATTAATTCGATGGTAAAATATTTGTAAATTAAATTTATGTACGTAATACTGCAGAAAATTCTTAATTTAAAATTCAGCTGCCCTGATGAACAATAATACTAGTTTTATGAATGCTTTTGTAATTACCTTATTCTTTATTGTCTTTGATGAAAATTAGTTTTGAAGTCAATACTACCTTTCAGTTGAAATGAAGCAGTAATTTTAAGATAGTTAAATTAATAAATAACAGCAATTAAATAGTTACCAGACTACAGAAGTATTCTTTCCTGAAATATATTTAAATATTGCCTATTATTGCTACATAAAACGAAAGCATGTATGTATGCAGCATACAAACTCTTATGCAGAACAGTGGAGTCAGTTTTAATTTATCTATATTAATTTACCTAATATCTTTACTATA